TACTGATGAGTAGCATGAATGAAACTCATATTTTTTCGGGGAAGATGCATTTTGTCGAGATCTGACTCCAGTGGAACCACCTAAAACGTGAGGCACTCGTGCATCTATTCGTTATTCTTACAACCTTCACCGTCATGAATTCTCTCTGGTTACTTTGACACAGATTCGAATAGTTCAGTCTTCCCTGTACCCCCTCATCGAAATGGGCATTCCTGGGACAGTACCCAAAACCGACGCACAAAATTGTTTGGTTAACGGTTGTAAAAAGGGAAACTGAAAACAGGTAGATGATCCGGTGATCGTAGTTGCCCGGAGGGGACGTTTGGTTCAAGGCATTTTCATTGGTGAAATCAGTCGTGTTTGGGTCACAATCGAAAGCGGTGTTTGCTGATCGGTGAGATTACGCTCCAGAGGAAACCACCGGAGTGCAGTACCGAATAATGCTATCGAGACAACAGTCTGCGTTGACGAAAAAGCACACTGAGGCCCTAAATAGTCTCAAATCAAATACACCGTTGGCCGACTTCCGCTCGACAAAGGATCTGGTACCGATGTTATAGATTTGACCGAATTCGAGGAGAAAATGTGTTTATTACTAAGTGACGAAACAAAGTTTATGCTTGAAGAGGAAAGGCCACAGGATCCTCGCGAACTCGAAAAGAAGATATCACCAGAGATACCATTTTTACTAGAAGGAAAGTTCATCACCGAAACCACCGTGAGAAAACCGAAATCAATCAATATGGGCTACCAAATTGAATAAACCTGGTATACCACTTCGACCAATCGTGTCTATGCGAAATTCTCCACAACACAGGATAGCCAAGTGGTTCGTTAAAATACTGGAGCCGGTAAGAAAATTCATTGCAAAGTACTTCTTGAAGAATAGTTTCGAACTTGCAAATGTTCTTGATAAGCTAATCATAAATGACTGTTATATGGCACCTTTCGAAATCGTTTCGTTGTTCACCAATGTTCCCGTTGTGGAAGCTATACAAATCATTTGTGACTACGTGTTGAAGAAAAAAATCCAGTTGGGCATCCCGCTTTCTGTCCTGGAGCACCTAATTATTCTATGCACAACGGATGTACA